TCTAATTCTCTGACTTGGAGATGAAGTAAGGGCCTTCCAAAAGCTTTTAAAACTTGGACTATTGGCAGCAGCCCAATGGCCGTACCACCACTGCTTCTTTTCTTCCTGGGTTGAATTACTTGGACCACAAGCAAAATTTCTATGAAATATTGAAATTTGGCTAGAGGCGGTTGGTGTTGACATGACTCGTTTTGACCTCGATCAATGATAAGCCTACTTCACAACCCAGATTGCTTCTCTAAGCCATAAAATGATAATCCAATTTCCAAATCCATCTCCATTTGAGCCCACATGCTTGTAATCTCGTCCTCCTTCTAATACATTAATGCTTCATAATTCCTCTTGAGTGTATTTTATCCTTCCAAAAGCACAAAACAACATTAAAAGGTGTAAAATAGTACAAAAACACACTCATGATCTATCTTAAGCACATAATTCAAATAGTTACGAAATCTGTATAAAATATAATAAAATATACTAAAGATGCATTGATAGAAGGAGAAAATGTATCAATATGAGAGTGATAACATCTTTAGTATATTTGAAATGAGCATAAAATGAATTTCAAAATTCACACTCACGGTCTATCTTAAGCACATAATTCAAATAGTTACGAAATTCATATGAAATATACTAAAGATGCATTGATAGAAGGAGAAAATTTATTAAATATGGGAGTGATAACATCTATAGCACAAGAGAATCCTAACCACATCAACATGCAATAACATCATGCAATATTGGCATGTGCTACTTCGGCAATCGCGTGAGGAAGTTCAGCTTGTAGCTATGCGTAATAGAGCTTTTTGTAGGGATCTTACTAGTGTTAGTGATTTTCGGTCACTGTTGTGAGAAAACCGGGCTGTGGTTTCTCTGTTGACAAACTCTTTTTGTCTTGTTTTTCGGATGGTTGATCGTTGATCAAGAGAGCTTCAATAAAACTTCCAACTTACCGAGAAAAAAAACATCATGCAATCCAATTTAAATCACTAACCATGCATTAGAATCCAAAAAAAAACAAATATATATATATGGTGCCTTCTACCGTACCCCGGGTAAAATTTGGGGTACTGCATACCTTGAGTATGAAAACGCTATCTAGACCTCGAATTAGCAAGATTTTTAGGCATGATACTATACCCTAACCCTTAATGAGTGAACCCTAGGTCCTAATTATCTAAATCAAAACTATAAACCCTAAGATGGTGCATTGATTTTTTTGCCTATATTTGGACGAATCATAACCGTCGATTATTGTTTCTAATTAAATTGATCTTGGGGTATAAGATTTATAGAATTAAGACCTAGATTTTGATCTTTAAGGGTTAGAGTATAGTATCATGTCCAAAAGATCAGTCAATTCAAGTTTTGGATAGCGTTTTCTTACTCAAGGTATGCGGTACCCCGGATTTCACCCTGGGTACCGTAGAACTCCACATATATATATATATATATATATATATATATATATATATATATATATATATAGATAGTGTGAAACTTTTTGAATGCAGTTTTAGCTCGTGAATGCTTCTACCAACACTTGACATACCCTTTAAGCACTTAAGCCTCAACATGACAACACTTTTTTTTTTCTTTTTCTGATTATCTCATCGCTATTGTTTCCCCCTTTTCTTATGTAGGGAGTTTTACTAGAGAATTATACCCTTATTAGTTGACCAAGAGCCCGAACCCACGGGTACCCTATCCGCCCAACCCGGTCAATGCGAAAAAGACCTGCACTAACGGATTATGGGTCGGGTTTGGGTTTAAACTCATTTGCTGTTTAGCTGGTTGGGTTAGGGTTTAGCTATATCCAACCTGCTCCAACTCGTACCCGTCCCCAACCACAAATTCCTTACCCACTTCTTATTTGGCCATTCCATCATACTAATTCCTAACCCTATGATGTGAATAAGATGGAAATTTGCCTCATGATGGGAGCACGATTAGTCAAGGTGGGGGAAGAATGACAGCATATGATAGGTATGTGGCATTGTTGAGTACTTGTAGTGTAGATGTAGAAACTGAGTTGGATAGCTATTTAAAGGAGGAAGTCTTGACTAAGACAACTGGATTTGACATTTTATTGTGGTGGAAGGCAAATGAGTCAAAGTATTTGACTTTAGCATTGATTGCTAGTGACATACTTGCAATTATAGTGACTACTGTGGCTTCTGAGTCTACCTTGTGTTGGAGGAAGACTAGTTAACCCTAGTCGTAGCAGACTTCTCCCAAAAACTGTTGAGGTTCTGCTGTGTGCTCAAAATCGGTTGCTCAATTCATCTATTCCAAGTAGCTTGATAACCTTTCATTGGTTGATTTCATATAGGAACTTTAACACTTGTTGTGAGTTATGATATTGTTGGCTATCATTATTTACCCACTTCACTTGCTATTCTGTTTGCAGATGACTTGGAAACAATTGATAGACTCATGACTTATGCCACCATTAAAGATGACCAAGATCCAGATTCTGCTTCATGTGTTACCGATATATTTAATATTATAAGAAAATATCTTCCTTAAGCAACTAATCTTCCTTAGGTTTGTGGAGACATGTCTAATTTGTTCTTTCTAATTGTATAGAAAAAAGTTGATATTACGGAGTGGAGAGCGAAGAAGTTTAGTTGACAAGGAGGAAGAAGCTTAGTTGACAAGGAAGAAGAAACTTTCAATTAATCATATTGTTTATTGATGTTTATCTTTAATGTTGAGAAATTTGCATGAATACTTTTTTGGTTTGCTTGTATGCTCTAGATTGGTGATTTTTTGTTTAGATAATTTGTATGGGAAGAATGATGTTAGACTTTTATTTTGACAGAAACTTGTTATTGTGCAATTTTTTACCATAAAATCCATGGGTATCCATAAACCCGCGGATACCCAATGGGTTGGGTTTGAAACTCAAACCCAATAGGTTTTACTCTGGTTTTTTTGGTGGATATACCCATGGGTTTGGGTTTGAAAAAACCCAACCCGGCCCATTGCCATCCCTACTCATATACCTCAATTCATGTGGAGGGTCAATGAAATTAATGGATCTCAGAAGCTTTGTCCGTGCCCTTAAAAACACATCCTCAAGCTGGCTTATCAGTTCAACGGGTGATACTTTTACTAGTACTAGAGCCAAACTAGCTTTGAACATTGCCACTGAACAACCAATAGTATCTCTTTCAAAACCTGATTTTTTGCAATGACAAGATGTCCCACACGTTGGGCTTACCTCACACTTTATATTTGAGCACAACATGGTGAATTTCTCAAGATACAACCATGTTTTGATAGGTAGGTTTTTTGCATTTTTGTAGAAGATACTATTCACCCTATGGGAAAAAACTTTGAAAATGTGATACTCTTTTACATAATTAGAAATCCAAGAATTAATCAAACCACATAACATTCAAACATATAAAGTGGTGATTATATCTAATTGACTATCACATCCTTCATAGTCACTATTCTAGCCACTCTAAACCAAGTGATATACCCTAGACTCATTGATTCAAAGTAAGACGAGTAGTGAACATGCTTGTAGGCAGTGGCGAATCTAGGAATTTTTTATAGGGGTGTTCTTTTCCAAAAATGAAATTTAATTAAAATTTTATTTGAATAATTCATAAATAAATAAAAAATCTGACTAGTGCAATTATACCATATTAGACAATAATTCACAAACTGATCGCATATTCGATTTCTAACCTTGTTCCTCATGTAACTCAAACTTGAAAGACTCTTTCAACTCAAATACAATGTAAATGAGAAGAGTTTGATGGTTTATATGCATACCAATTTATTTGAGTTGAGTAGGATTTTCAATTCATTGATTTACTATCTACTCATATGAAAATTACATTTTGATATATAAAGTTAATAAATATTTAATACATAAATTTAACTTTTTGCATATAATTCCCATAAATACTGATGGAAACTTATATTTCTTTGTATCTAAATAATTTGTGCCTTTTGATATATTAATATCTAAACGGTTTAAATTTCACAAATAAGTTTAATTTGTTTGTTTGTATGTGTAAATTCATACACAAACTATGTCCATTTAATTAAAATAACTAATACTACTAAAAATATCAACTTTTAACAAAAGTTTCATTTATACTATGAAACGTTCGATATCATTTCATTTGTATACCAACAGTTAAGTTTTTTATTAGAAGTTAACAGAAAATACAGTCAAGGATGACTCGACTGCTCACATGAAATATTATAATAAAAAATACAAAAATGTATATTTTTAATTAATAAATTAAATGTGATATTATAATAACTCACATCATCAAAATAAATTTCCCAATCAGCAAAGCAATAGTATCTATTCAACTAAAAATTGAGAGCTAATTCTTAGGAGGTGTGAAACCCTAAAGCGATCGTTTTCCCTAGATTTGTCCCGGCTCCCATGCCGGCGGTAACAGCACCGCTGGCATCAAGAGAGGCTGAAGATCCTCTCGCAGCTGATACGGTAACTGGACAATGCAAACCTCCACCTCAATCTTCGTCACCGAACCCTAAGGGCGACCGTGAAACCAAACATACCAAGAAGAGAGCTAAATCAACAGCGATAAACCTACCTTTGCAAGAGACGGAAGAAGAGATGTTAGATGTATCAATGAACGGGACTGGACAGAAGTCAGCCCAAGCAAGTCTGAGGCCCTCTGTGTGGGGGGAGGGAGCTAGCGCTGCGCGCCGCCTTTTCGGAGAAGTGCCCCATGCGGATACGTGGTACGTTGCAGACCCGGATTCTGAAGACGTTGTTGAAGCCATGCGAGCTGAGGGTCGAGGCGAGGGTTCAGACGACGAAATAGACCCCATCTGCCCTCTGATTTATTTCACGACCGATGAGGAAAGGATCTACAGGCGGGAATGGCGATATGCTCTCGTGGTTAAAGTGATGGGGAGATCCGTGTCATACACCCTTATCCACAAAAGGTTGACGATTATCTGGGCTAAGGCAGGTGCTATTCAGCTCACATCTGCGAAGAATGGTTATTTCCTGGTTCGTTTCACGAACGACATTGACTATGAGAGAGCAATTACTGGTGGACCATGGATGGTGGGAGACAATTACCTGACAGTCCATCCCTGGTCCCCGGAATTTAATAGCCATAAGATCTCCTCGACCCTGGTTTGGGCAAGGTCCTCGATATTCCAATTCACTACTTCCATCCTGATGCAGTCATGAAGATTGGAGCTCGCATAGGGAAACCTATCTGTATAGATCATGCGACCAAGACGGGAGCAAGAAGCAATTATGCTAGGGTGTGTGTCCAAGTCGACCTTACCAAACCATTGTTGTCGCAATTTAGAATTAAGGGGATCAAGTACTTTATTCAATATGAAGGTTTAGAAAAGATCTGCCTTAACTGCGGGACGTATACTGAGCATACTCGATGTGCTTGTGTTGAACCAAAAGAGAGTGCTGAGCCGGAAGTCATGGAGATGCGCGAGAGCCAGGTTGCAAAAGATCCCGAAATGTTGTATGGTGAATGGATGATTGCTAAAAGAAAGCCAAGACTGGCCAGATTGGACACCAGACAGGGGAAGGAAGAGATGCGAGGACATCCTCGGCAGCTGAGAAGAAACCTGAACCTGGATCACGCTTTAATGTGCTTTAAAGGGAGGAAGAAACTCATAGCGGCAAGGAGCAGGATACAGTGATGGGGGTAGAGGAACTGGATAACATTACTATACCCCGCCCGACTTCACCTTTTTCTCACATAGGAAAGGATGAGGCAAGGCTAGCAAGAAGAATCATAGGGGGAGTTTGCCTCGTGAACAGGAGCATGTGACCAAGCCTGCCATGCAACAATGTACCCTGGTTTCGAAGATAACGGACAAAGGTGCTGAGGGCTTTCAAATGGTGCTATCCACCATAGTCCAAGAAGCGGAGCGTGGGTAGAAACTCGAATCAAATGATAAAGCTCAGGGGGGATTCTCTACCCAGACGACAGTGAAGGATACCGTATTCATGAAAATGGTTGCAGCTCCAACCAACCGACTAAAGAAGCCGCCAGATGAGTTGCATAGACCGGTTGGTGGCCAAGAGGGACAGGCGGTATCAAAACCTTTGGGAAAATCAAAGGTGACAAACCCATTGAAGCTTTTGGGGAAGTCCCATATAGGGGCCTCTCCTAAAAATGCGTAAGCCAAGCGTTTAGCTCATTCTACTATCCCCATGTCTATTACGATGTTAAAAGTCTTCACATGAAATTGTAGGGGTGCAGGAAGCAATCGTTTCCTTCGAGTGTTCAAAGAATATAGTCGTAAGCATCATCCGGGTATCGCTATCATAGTGGAACCGCGGATTAGTGGAGATAGAGCAGAAGAAGTTGTGAAAAAGTTGGGTTTTGATAAATGGCTTATAGTGGATGCTGTGGGCTTTGCTCGAGGTATATGGATGGCTTGGGATCCCTCGTTGATAACAGTAACAGAGGTGGACAGATCAAGTCAGTTTTTACATGTTCAGCTTCAAAGCGGTCGTGATGTTTGGTTCCTTACAGCGGTGTATGCTGATCCAGCGTTGGTTCAAAGAAGAGAGTTATGGCAATCAATTCGGAATATTGCAGAAGAAATGGAGAAGCCTTGGCATTTGGCGGGGGACTTCAATTCGATCTTGCATCCCTCAGAAAAGCTGGGGGTGCCCCTTTTGATGCAAACCGCACAGGGGATTTTCAAAATTGTGTTATCGATGCTGGTCTAGTGGATTTGGGGTTCGCAGGACCACCTTATACCTAGTTCTGGAATGGAATGAAAAAAAGATTGGATCGTCGTCTCATAAATTTGCTATGGTCATCTCAGTTCCCGAACACTTCTGTTCGCCATCTCCCCAGGATTAAGAGTCATCACCGACCTATTCTTATTGATCTAGATCCGAGTTTCCCAAGGCGAGCCCGAAGCCGTTTAAATTTCTGGCTGCTTGGCTAACGCACGAAGAATTCAAAGACATGGCAGATCGCGGATGGAGGAGGGGATTCGATTTGCTAAGCTCTATTAGGGAGTTCCTTAGGGAAGCCACTGTCTGGAATAAGAACACCTTTGGCAACATTATTAAAAGGAAGAATGGCTTCCTTGCGAGAATAGAAAGTTTTGAACTACGACATAATGGTGGCTCCCAAGAAAGTATGTTACAGCAAGCTCGTGAAGAGCTGGAAGAAGTACTCCTACACGAAGAGCTATTATGGTGCCAAAAATCGAGACTTGACTGGATTATTTCAGGGGACAGAAATACTAAGTATTTCCATGCACAAACAATGAATCGACGGCTGCGAAATCGGGTGATTGTGTTGAAAAATAGTGAGGGAGAGTGGATCGACGGTAGCCCTCCTGGAAATGGCACGCCGTTTTTTCTCTGCCTTGTATACGGATGATGGAGGTCAAATAAAGGAAATTCCTGCAGGGTTCAGGGACATCCCGACGGATAAGTGGCTGGCGGTGGATGCTCAGTTCTCGACGGAGGAGTTACTTTTCGCAGTGAAGTCAATGGGTTGACACAACCCGATCTTTTTAGAAAACCAAACCATAACTTAAACCAAAACCCGGTTACTCCGGAGCAACGCAAACCATATTTTAAAATGAACAAATCGACATCATTTAAGAATTTTTAACAAAAAGCCCCAACACACTTGGGCAAAATTCTCAATCTTAAACACTTAAAACGACTTAACACAGAATCTCCAGTTTATACTAATAACCATGAAACAAAATAAATAACTAATCTAACTTGACTCCTCACGAGCTTTCCGATATCCCGTCGATGCTGATACTGCTGCTCGCCTCGCCTTGCTTCTTCTCGTGATCCACTTCTACTAGACTATCCTCAACCTGGTGAGTGAGAAGGGGTCAGTCTCGTCGTTACTTCCTAAGGTCTTCGCCCTAGGCAAACTTCCTACTAAACACTTTATTAGGGGAATGCCTCCTAGCATGAAAGCCGTTCTCACTTTCTGCTTTTAAATAACCATTCTTATCAACTCATTTCAACATTAACTCATAAAAGTTCTCGACTTCTATCCTTATCTCAAATCAAATCCACTAGGACCACCGCATTACGTCTCGCCGTCCGGTTTCCTACCCTAGTATGCCAACCGCGTTACGTCTCGCCGTCCGATTGCATACCCAAACTCGGGAATGGCAATGCGTTACGTCTCGCCGTCCAGTCCATGCCCGTCAACTACTGTATTACGTCTCGCCGTCCAGTAGTGACCCCAACATACTCGATCAACTGCTGCGTTACGTCTCGCCGTCCAGCAGTGAACCGACCATCTACCGCATCCAGTAGTGGCCCAACCGCCCGGGGGTTCCTCATACCATCAATCCATACAACATCATACACATTCATACATAGCACAACGCGTGCCTCCACCCTTACAGGCGGTGGGATGCCTCACACACATATCGCGCATACAAGAACAATTAACTAAATAATAACTTGAACGAAAAGCGAAAACTAAAAGACCTACGACAGAGATTTTACCCCCTTTACACTCACCTCTTTAGTCGCATCAATGTCTGCATTTTCACGCTCAAGCCCCACGCTTTTTTCCTCTTTTGGCTCCTCCTCTATCGGTTCATCATCTTCCTCTTCAACGACCATAACCATTGGAGCTCCGCCGCCATTCTCTTCTAGGTCCCTCCTCGGGCCACAATTCAGCGGCCAACTTCGAACTCCCGACACCCCGGGTCTTCTAGGAGGATAGGGTCGGGGCCTCTCCATCGCTTTACCCCCGCCAGTTGCGATCACCGATGTCGAGTTCTCGGCCTTCCTTCCGCCTCTAATAGACACGGCTCTTCCCCTCCTACTAATCGGTGTGAACCTCTTCATCATGCGAGACTACGAAGTTCGATCGGCTGCTAACTTTCTCGCCTTCTTTCCCTCCTTAGCCGGATTATCCTAGGACACCTATTAATAAGAAGTTCATACTCTAAGACAACCTTTCTTGATTTAAAATCCTCCTTTTTATCTACCCAGACTCCCTCTACTCAAAGTCTCATCCTCAAACCTCACTCCAAAGGTCCTTTAACCCCCCATTAAAATTTCTAGAATTAATCCCATCAAAACCGACTATTTTTCTTAATTATTTTTATCTTGGACGAATTTTTCACCTGACTAGAACCTTCTTATACTTTTGGACAATAATTTTCCCATGTCAATCATGAGCACCTATACCCTGGAAAATTATCAAACCCTTAAAAATCCATCGGAAAGATTTTTATGTAATTAAAATGAATATTAGAACAATTTCTAAAAATATAAATACATCTTCAAAAATCCCCAAATTAAATTACAACCATCTCCTAGACGTCGCTCAATTTATCAAATTGTTAAATTCTGAAAACAACCTTCAGAGGCTAAAAACAATTTAAAACATCCAAAAATACAGTTCTGGAAATTCCCAGCAGCTTTAGTGACCAATCAAAATCTGTCACTAAAAGCGTGTAAAGCATGTTGCTAAAACCTCAGAATTGCACCCTCACGAAAAATCCCCAAATTAATCGACCTAACTCAAAGCGATCGAGTTCCCTTACCTCTAGAACGTGTCTAGGCCTAGGTTGGATGACCCGAGACGTTGATCTCCTCGTTGATCGAACCCTCAAACGCCACCGCTAATAAAATACGAGGTTCGGATTAGACTATCGATAAATCGAGTTTAGAAATCGCGAAGGGGGTGGGATCGAGATTGGAATCGGGGTCGGGGCACAGGGAGGCGGCGGCTCCCTTGCTTCTTTTTTTTTTCTCTGCCGCGCGGGGTCTGAATTCTTTGGGCAATTACTTGAAGAATGGCGGCAGGGTGGGAATTATTAGGGCGCCGGGGGGGGGGGGGGGATTAATGAGGGCCGCTCGGTCCCCCAGGTCTGATATATATGTTTTTTTAATAAGTAATAATAATAATAATAATAATAATAATAATAATATTCACAATCCGCAGTTGTAACTCTTAGTACGTAACCGTCAATCCAACCAATCACGTATTAGGTCGAACCTAAATCTAAAATACCGAGGTGTTACATTTCCTCCACCCTTATAAAACTTTCGTCCCCGAAATTTGCTCGGAACTCATCCTTCTTTCAACACCCT